TACACTCATTCTAAGATGTCTTTGCAGTGTGAGAATGACATAAAAGGCTTAAATATAAATAAGAACTGCAGACTGTGTGAGAGATAATACAGTACTCAGGCAATAAGGAATCAAAGGATGGCACTGTATGTGTCAATCAACACATTTTTAAAAATCAGGTCTTGTTAAATAAACTTGATACAATTTTCATATGAAATTACAAGTCCATATGTCAATGCAGTTCTGATATGACAGCTCCTGTGAGGCACCGGACTCGGTATTAAACAACATTTGGATTTTGAAATTACTTTATAAAAGCAACACAACACATTCTAAAGGGATTCAAGTGCCTCAGAAAGCTCATTTATGAGAAATCTTTACTGAATATATGTGTTCAATCATTTTCTGCATTCTGCACTTCTATTTTCTGGAAAACTAGTTCTGTGATCTTTCTTCATTAATATCTTATTCTTTAATGACTGTTTTAGTTCATTAGATAGTCATTCAGACACTCGATGCAATATACAAACCACCAGGCAATTTTTGTGAGATACAGGGAGAACAAAAAATATTTTTTCAGTCTAAATAAATAGAGGTTTTGAAGTAAAAACCAAAGAACTTGTTCATCCCTTCTTCTACATGCAAGTACATCCTTGGATCTTTCCAACTTTGATGACACAGTCATTGTCAAGAGCTACAGCTCTGCTGAAAGTGCTAGAGAAGTCATTTAAAAGCCAGCAGGCGTAAGTGAGAGCAAAATTCACTGAGGAATTTCTTCTCTCAGCATAAGACTGTGGCACACTATTAATTAGCAGTTAAGATCTAATCCCATTTGCACACTTCCTAGCTAAGAGAGCTGTATGAGAACAGCAAATCTGTATAGAAGACCATACCCACACTACTACATACACTAATATGATGACAGCCTAAATTTTGTTTCTTCAACAATGACTGGAAGGATCCAGTTCCTTCTAGCCTTTATCTGCTTTAGCAGTTCCTGTAAAAGCAGCTGTCTCTGCGACAGCCCGTGTGCCCTCCAGCCTCCTCCACCCAGTGCTCTGGGATGCCAGGGCAATGTGAGGGCACTGAGCAGGGCAGCATCCTCAACTGAGCGCTTTTCCCCATTGGCACAGTTGGAAATGGGCTACAGAACTAGATGGACTGTGGATCTGACCCCACAGAGCATTCCTTATCCAGCAGGACTAAGCTGCCCGATTTTTTATGTCCCTTGGTCTATGTACACCCTAACTAAGTTGTTTTTTTTTATTATTATTATTTTTTAATTTTTTTTTTTTTTTTAAATTTCCATACTGTAGCTAGAGAACTGCCACAGCAAACTGCGATAGCGAATCACTGCAGAGGAGAACCAGCACCTACTAAGTTTCAGTATTAAGTGATATATTTTTTTAAAATAAATCCATATGACTCACTTTTCTTAAGCTCCACTAAATTTAGATGATTGCTAAGTTTAGAGACCTACAGCTGTTCTCATGGGTTGCCATGAATGGAGAAAAATCTCTCCAAGAAGCAGTCTCTGCCTGATCACAATACACCCAGGCTGTGGCCTTGCATCAAAACAGCCTGGCAAGGCCGCAGAGGGTGCTGTGAGGGCTCTCAGCAGGTGCTGAGCACAGCTTTAGCCTCAGAACAGCACCACTGTGTCAGCACAGCAGAGTTCAGGACCTGAGTCACACTCCCAGGCAGCATCCTGCACAACACTGCCCTGCAGAGTACAGATGCACCAGCTGCCAAGGACCAGCCCAAGGATCTCTGCACTACAGCTCATGCTTTCAGCGAGCTCTGGAAGCAAGGCTGTCACTGTAAGGAGTGACAGATTTCTGCAGCCAACAGTTAGCTGCCCCAGTAGTTTTGCAGATTGCAAGAGTCATCTTCCTATTCACATGTGGGTGCTTAAATAAGTCAAAAATATCACTTTTTATTTGTTATTGTTACATATGTATTATTTCCAAGTTGCAGATATATTTTATGATGTAAAGTTACATGATGTATGAATGAAGATAATGGAAAAAATGAACTCTAACTGATTCCTAATGCCTTTTCTGAATTAGCTGTACTTCCATTTCACTACTGAATTGTCAAGTTATTGTTATGAAAGCTATAGAACATAAAAAGGGAAATATTTTTATGCCACTATATAAAGCCATGGTTATTTCCTCAATTTCAGTAGCGAGTGGAGTTCTGATCATCTGAAAAAGATTATGGAAGGACTGAAGAAATACAAAGAAAAGAGCAAGTGTGATTCAAGATGAAATCACCTGTATAATACAGGATGTAATAGCAATGAGTTGTAAACCTCTTATTGCTGGACACACAGCATGCTGGAGAAGCATCACTCTCTTGTGTGGCTCTTGCTGTATGGTTAGCCATCACTACTGCCAATTGAGGCTGGCCTTTGAGACAGGTCCATCCTGTACAACAGATGCAATCTTCTGGCATTCAGCTTAACCTTTGGAATTCTGCATTCCATCTTTAGGTGGTGAAATCCTGAGGCTCTGTCCAGATGGGGCTTCTGTGCACCATCATCTGCACTGTTTTGCAGATGTCCCAGTAGGCCTGACTCTGGGGCACTGCTAACATCTCCAGTAAATGCTGTTCATTTTCAAAAGCTAACTACGGGAAAAGACAAAACAAAAACAAACCCCCAAACAAAAAACCCCCACCACCATAGAAGCCTTCCCTCCCACTCCCCCAACTCAATTAATTAATTCAGATGAAGAGTACCTCAGAGAAAAGATGGTTTTAAACATGCTGATAATACATTTGCTGGTTTAGCAAGTGGTGACTAGGGTCAAATGGACTTAAAAACAACCTGCAACACTTAGGATCTTTCTACAGGACTGCTCTATTTAGGCACAGCATATCAGCTCTGGAATAGTGCTTGCTTCTTCCTAAACAACAAGAATTACAGAATTTCAAGTTCTCCATCTGAGGTCTTCTGAGACAGCTAAATGCATCCATGTGCTGCTTCCCCAACAGAGTGGGCGAGCAGAACTTCAACCGACGTGTTATTTGTATTCTTTTAACACTAGAATTTTATGTTACTAACTCTCAAAATTGTCCTTTGCCAGGAAATATGTGGCACTTACAAAATTAGTACAATGTTTGACTATGACATGATTCCATAGCATCTGTTACATCTCAATATGTCACTGAATATTTCACAATTATTTAACATCTATCACAGTCTTCTACTCCAAGAAAGACTAAGTATTTCAAAGTTCTTTCTTCTCTAGCATAAATGTTCTGCAGCTACCAACGTTTTCTCCGTGCATTTACCTTAGGCCTCCTAATGAGGCAGCTCAACCCAAGAGGTGCAGTTCTAGGTGTCTTACTTCTCAAAGCTAGTTTGAAAGGCAGATTTATCTATGCTTTTTAAAGCTTTCTTGTATTTAGTAAGTCAGTAGTTTATTTAAAAAAAAAAAACAAAAACAAAAAACAATCACCTTACATATTAAATCATTTTAACTTGGAATGTCTCTAACAGAATTAGGTAACTAAACACAAACTTGACTGGACATTTTGCAGAGCATATAGGAGTGCTCCTCCTTACTGTCAGTGAGATTTCACATAACTGAGACTGAGATTCTCACTGCAGCACAGACAGCAAAGAATTCTGAAGACCAAACCCTTTCTGGTTAACCCTACCTAGCAAATATCTCAGTGACAAAGCAGCTGTTCAGTATTTTGATGGCACTGGTGTTGAGGCTTGTACAAAAAGAAATTTGTCGGGTTTACTGTGAACTGGAATCAGTTTGACTCACTAGATGAGGTATTCTCAGCATACATTTCATTCAAAGTTTTTGAATAGAAACTGCCACAGAACCATTCTTCCTTGTCCAGAGATCCATTTGCCCCGGGGAATCCCATGCCATCCTTCTGCCTGTCCCAGTCAGAAGATAGCAGCATGTCACTGCTCTGCCTCTGTAACAGCTCGCATTGAAAAGTTTTATTTCTGATTCTGCACATTGCTATCTGACACCATGATTGCTGGTTGCTAAATTGACCCCAAACTCAGTTTGATCTACATCCAAAAGTTCACGACTTGGACAGAAGGACTGGAGCCATTGAAAACAGCTCCAAGAGGACACTGTGATGGCAGTAGCATTGGCTTTTATTTCAAATTAATAAATAAAAGTTAAAAAAAATAAAAAAAAAAAAAAATCAGACATGGAGAATGGGATGCCTTGTTGCTGTGTTGTTTTTGCTGATAGCCAGCTGGAAGTTCTGGGCCCAGGAGATGAGCTCAGACCGTCCCCTTTACAACAGCATATATAGAGAAGAGCATTCATAGCCCTTGAAGTGTGAGTTTTTTCCTTTACTCCAGTACAACTGCAAGCTGTTTTGGCATCCCTTTGCCATGTTGAAAAGGGACTATCTTCCCACGGAGCCTCACAAGCCCTGCCTGCTAAACCTTTCCTCCTACTCCTACAACACCACAAAGGCTCAGCAAACTGGACCAATACACAGGAAGTGAAGAAGATCAAGGGATTCACTTCAGAACTACTCCATGCTTTGAGCCAAAATGTTAATACATGTGCAACCTATACGGGCTCTTTCAAAACTCATCACTAATTTTAATTTTCTTGCAAGAAAGAGACTCAGATATGTGTCTTTAAAGAGCTGTGATTAAAATAACTTGTTTCCTCACACTTATTGCCATAAAATGGTGCACTTATTTTCTCATATTGTTACCGGCAATCAGTACACAAAAAGTTATAAAAACAAGTCTCTTTTTTTTTTTTTCCATTAGGGTAGCTTTCCATTCAAAGAACAGTGTTAAGTACTCAAAGCAGGAACGCAGCTATAATTCATAGTAATTTTAAGATGGTATTTCACTGCCAGAGACTGTAAAACTGATGTGATAGTCATGCCAAAGTCATGCCAAAGCTTTTCTTTGAACTGTGACATTTTGTGTGTCAGTTAGTTACTGAGTATGACTTATCAGCCACCACCCACCCAGCTGATTAAAGATAGAAGACACAGTAACACTGCCACAAAGCTAAGGTACTAAGTTTTATTTTGGGAACCTCACAGGGACACACTTGACATTCTATGATGTCGTGCACGTATTTACTTTGGATTCTTCTGATTACTGAGTACATGGATGAAATACTCATTTTCTGATACACCAGGAAAAAAAGGAAACAAAACATTCCAGTGAGGAAAGTCCTGATATTGGGCTCTGAACCCTTTTTCAGTCAAAGCTGTCCTGGATTTCACAATACTAACACTGTGAAAGCTACCAGGGATATCAGGTTACCCAAAGAACACAGTTTAACAACTGCTCATTCCATCCATGATATCATTCAAGTCATTTAAAAGGAAATAACACATAACTAGATTCCGAGAGCTTTAGTGAATTACAGAAGTTCCAGGAGAACAAAGCAAATACATTTTGAAAGCATGGTTATATAATCTATTTGCTTTAAAGTAGCTGCAATGAGCTAAGCATACAAAGTATCCACACGAAAATAATTTGAGCAGATTATCACTCATTTGAAAACTCAAATGTAAATATGCTTTTCACAGGTATTTCTTAACAAGCAAATCCAGCTTGTTAAGTAATAGGAATCAGAAAACAAGACCAAAAAATTGACACAATGGGAAAGCAAATGTGCTCTTAAACCTGAAAAAGTCAGTATAACAGTAAAACCTGAAGACTCACCTCTGTACTGTTCCATGGGACGTATCAGTAATAACTTGCTCTTATGTTCAGCTTTCCATTTGTAGAGGTTCAGACCCAATTTGGCTCCCAAGATTCTGCCAAAGATTGCTGTTGTCAAACTAAACTTTTTTTTTTTCTCCTGACCTTCTATTATTGTTGCTAGGAAATATTACAAGTAAGAACATAACCTGTTGATGAGTGTATATTCCCCTTTAAGGAAGCCTAGCATTACAGCTGGTGAACTATGCTGATCACAGCTCTGCCAGTCCTTTCCTGTTGAACAAAAAGGAAGCTGTTATATCAGCAACAGAACATATACAAAAATGAAAAGCATCTTTCATCTAATCCTTGGGTAGCTGCTGTTTTTGTTTCCCAAATCATTAGTGAGAATAATCTTCCATTTCACCCACCCCACTACATGTCATTTGTAATTTTATCAATTTGCAATGATAGCTGAAGTGTTCTGCAGTTTGCTAACTAAACTCCAATAAACGTTAGCTAGTAATTAGCTTTTATACAGCTGTACAGCAGGAACTGAATCACCTGAGCCTACTCAGTTCCACTCAGCTGTGGTCATCTGCAATTTCTTTCCAGAAGGCCTCATGGGAGGGGAAGCAAGAATGCTTAAGAATAGAACTTCTCTAAAAAATCATGTTTAAAAAACAACAACAACAAACCTTTGCAACATGGTAAAATAATTTCATTCACCTCTCTTGGATTTTCTATTCTCAATAATTCAAGTTCATACTTTTAAAGTCTCTCAGAAATCGAGGAATGAGAGTGTATAGAAGTAAAAGAAATAGAGGGCATTTTCTTCTCTGAAGTTCCTTGCTACAAATACAAGATATATATTTCTTAGAAGGAAAAGTATACAGAGACCTTTCTGTCCATAATAATCTTCAACAGAAGGTTATTGTTGTACAGAGTCTATAAAGTGCAGATATTGTCAGACATTTAAATAGAAAACTACAGTCAGGTTAGAAATATTAACAAGACATCACAGACTTTTTAATGGCTAAATGCAAGCTAGTAGTGAAAATGAGATTTCTGTAAGATAGAAACTTCACATCAGTTGCTCCTTAATCAATAATTAATTTGAAATAAATAAAATAAAACTGCATGGAATTAGTGTTTGGGACAGGTATAAGGACTGGACACCTGTGTCAGTAGACTGAAGTACATTGACCAAAAAAATGTAGTGTAAGTAATGGCACAGCAACTCATCATACATTTTTTTCATGAACGTGTCTAGACCTGTAGCAACTCTCCCTGTGGAATAATAATTCAATCTTCTGTGTCTCAGCAGAGACTGTGATGATATTGCTAATTAACATCCATGATGATGACTCTCTTACGAAAACATTCATCTGTTGGGAAATACCACTTCCAAGGCTAACCATCTATCTATTAGCAGGTCTTTCCATCACCTTTCAGAGGTAACACCATTTCTCTTGCACTGATTAGCATGCTATTTGAGTTACAGCTCATTTCATCTAATGGATACCTGGTTCTTGAACATAGAATTGAATATATCTGCTCATGTATTCAGTGCCTCCAATTTCATTCCATTATTTATGTACTATCTGCCTGGGAAGTAAAGAAGATTTCACTTTTTGTGTGTCTAGTAAAGTACAATTTCCAAGGAAACTGGAATAGAAAACAGATGTTATTTTATTAACAATTTGCCCATGCATTATACTTTGGAATGCCTCACTAAAGTTAGGAAGATATTGAAGATTTCTCTTTTGATTTAACAGTAGAACTGATACTCTTTTCGTCTTATGTGATCATTATTCTTGGTTTACTTATTTACAGTAGCATTAAGTGTGTGCTACAGTCTCTAAGTTCACAGGAGGAGGGCATTGCTTCTGCACAATTTCAGAAGGAATCTCTAATTCAAGCAGCTTAACAACTAGCAAGAAAACAGAAATGGAGCAACAGAATGAAAAATGATCAGAGATCAATGCCCATAATGAAATCTCTATCATCTATTACTACTAATATGAACACACAAAGGCAGTAGGAAATCAGGGATCACTGATAAAATACATCGAATAAGAGGATTTATCTCACTATAGCACTGCTTGAATGAGTGTATATAAAGTTACAGGGGGCAAGAACATCTCCATAAGCAGTAACCCAATGAAAGAGTGGGGAGGGAAGGAAGAAGGAAGAAAAGGAAAGAGAGGAGAAGGTAGATGTGTCCACAGTGATAAATGCTACCTTTTTCTTCTTCTCAACAATTAGAAAATTCCTTGATGCTGCTAAAGCACATCCATACAAATTCTTCACTAAAAGTCAGTGGTAGGCTTGAATAGTATTTTCAGTATGCCAAATTGAAGTTCATGAAGCAGACCAAGTTTTATTCTTAACTCAATTTAGAAAATTGTTTCAAAAGGAAATAACTAATTATTCATGTTCATTTTATCCTCTTTTTTTTTTACTATAAACACACAGTTCTCAATTGTTCAGAATTAAATCTGGTAGATAATTAACTAAAAACTGTTAAATTAAAAATAATTTGCAATATAAAAAAGAACACTATATGAAAGTGAAACCATAAAGGAAAGACAAATATACTATTAATTTCTAAGAAGCAAGCATTATCCACCATAATTTTAATCAGTTTCTACATATGTGAGATTTTGGTCAGCCAACAAAAGGCTGTTGAAATATCAAATGAGTACATTTCACAATAACTGCAAATCAGAGTCAGTTCTTTTCTTTCTAAGCCAAAAAGTACAGCATTGCATTTCCTAACTAGGATGACTGGGAATCAACAGAGTTTTCAAGTATTTTAAGTATTCTATGCACACATACACATGTAAATTAATACACCCAACTTGTCAACAGTAAAGCTTCAAAGGCTGTTCTTCAGAGCTACACTTACAGTCAAAGTTCTTAAAATTCTGGCTGAAACAAATGAAGTATCATTGATTTTTAAATAACTTGAGATCTAAAGTTTCCACTTTGTCTTTTCACCAGAGAGCATACTTCAGGCAAAGTACAATGGTGATACTTCATCTTGTCCGTGCTTCATTGCGCATTCAAACTCTTTGAAGCTGATGCGCCCATCAGAATCCTGATCAACCTCTCTATAAGAGAAAAGAGATCTGGTTTTTAAAACCCAAAAGACATTACGTGAAACAGACATACTTACTGTAGGTATTCAACACCAACATTGTTTTGAAGAGCTCAACTTCTACACACTTGAATTCTATGCCATGAACTGAAATACACTTTTTGCATAGCACATCTCACTTGAGGAGTTGAAAGATTTTAAAAAAGAAGTATTGTTCTGTTTATTCAAGAGGAAGCAGAAGTGAATTACAAGATGAAAATTTGAATTCTACAAATTTAGCACTTCCAGCACAAATTCAGCTCTTCTACATCGTCCCTAGTTCCCAAAATTCAGTTATCTGGGGTGGAGATCCTCAGAGTTCCACAACACAGCATAAAATCCAAGACTTCTAGGTCATAAGATATCATAAGCTTACATTTAAATTTCCCCAAATTGTCCTATAACCTTTCGCATACCTCAAGCAGCTTATTTTGAAGCAAATATTGTGTTAACAAGCCTAATAGTTGTAGCTCTAAGAAAAAAATGCTCTTTTGCATGTGATTATGTGGTAAAGTGCATATTCTAATGCTCAAAGAAATACCTCTGAGAAGAAAAACAATTTTACTTATTTTTATCCCCATGATATAAGCTGATAGAGGACAGCAATTCAGTTAATGTCACTAACATACAGGTCTAGGCTTTGTCAAACACGGTTTACAAAATTTGACGTAGTGACAGATAAGACTGACAGAATAGTCTTCTGTAAAGTATTTATCACAGTTCTGTCTACCTTTCTTACTAGAAACTATTATATAGAAGTTAACATTAAATAATTAAAAAGCTGATGAACTCTTGGAGCTCAAAATCTGCTCGTTGTCTCAGAAAATATTTTGTTTATAACAATACGCAGTCCAGCATTCCACTACTGATCTGGAATAACATTTTTAATTATTACTGATAAAATTTGAAGATGACAAAAACTGGTGGTATTATAGTTCTGCAAACTTTGCCATCACAATTAGTGTTCAATTGCAGCATTCCTACTGAACTGCAGCATGCAAAACGTGATGCATATTCTACATAGATTAAAAAGAAAACTTCAGAATAATCCAGGCTGTTTAGCAGTAGCCTCTGCTAAACAGCTTTTGAATGCCCTGGAAATTTCAAAGGGATTCTAGATCCTGCAGAGGTAGTACAGCATCTCAGTATTAAAGAAAGCCTCACACAAAGAGACAGGATGTACTACTCTAGGCACATATGCTTAAACATATGCTAGAAATGAACTTCTTGTGACATGAAACATTTTCTGAACTTGGTCAGATGAACTTCAGACCTCATGGTGCAATAGTGAACCATATATCTCCACAAACCTATGAAATGGCACACTATCAATGTGGAAATATGTAAATGAAAGTAGTTCTTTCGGTTTATTGTTGGCTCTCAATCAAGACTAAATCATATTCATGTTCTGCTGCTTTTCAGGTAATGACAGGTTTCGGATGATGATCGCCCATGTGTCTTGGTGGACAACATGACAACTGATAACGGATCCTCTCAAATATCATATGCTGTAATAGCAACAAACAAACATTCACCAGCAAGGGACAAACACAGGTCATAATTACAAAATGGAGATGCTGTCTTGGAAAGCAGTAACTGAAAAGGGCTGAGGAGTCATAAGAAGTAATCAAATGAAGATTACTTCCTACTGTGATGCTTCACATAAGAGGGGAAATATGATCCTTGAATGTGTAAGCAGGATAATATCTAAAACAAATACAACTGATTTTATTTCAGAACACAGCATTAGGAAAATTCTGAAGAAAATATTGTGTTTAGTTTCTGCTGCCCACACTTCAAGAACGATACTGAGCAACTAAAAAGAACTGAGAATAACTGCTGTAAATTACATGAGTTCTGGAAACGATGCCTTATAATGAGACATTAAACACTCAGTTTAAAAAAGGATTAGTGAACTGATTCTATCAAATCAAGTCCACAGGTATCTCCTAGGGAAAATATTTCAGATAGTAAATATCTTTTAAAGGAATAAGGAAAGACATGATGGTAGACACCAGTTGGAAACCAAAGCTAGAAAGATTTACATCTTAAATTAGGTTTGTTTGTTTATTTATTTTATGAAGCTGGCAAGCTATTGAGATAACTAAACTATGGGTTATGAGACAATTTCTCTCTCTTGAAAATCAAGACTATGTAACTTTCTACAACATATATTCTAGTCAAAAGGAATACTAGGTTTAATTACTTCAGGACAGACTCACTCTGTGGTGGAAATCATTATTCTTTGATTTGTATTGTATGTACCTTAATTATCTATTAAATTATTTAAGCATCCTCCATCAGTATCAGAACAAAATAGGCATTTCTAGAGAATATTCATATTCATGGTTATAGATAAGTGAAACGAAGCCATCCATAAAATTCTAAGCAAGGCTTAAGAACCTGATGAGTTTTGTGATTGAATAATACCACCAGACTTATCCACTGATACATTCTTACACAAAAGACATTGAAGATGATGAATGATGGTCCACGCTTGTCTTGTTTTTACCTATACATCCCTATTTGTATACTGGTACTTTTCAGACAAGCAGAAACTCTGTAAGAAGGTATTTGAGCCTGCTCAGAGGATCTGTTCTGGACTTCTAGCTGTGGTGTGCCTGTTCATTGCAGAGGAATTGGACTAAATGGCCTTCTGTGGTCCCTTCCAACTCTAAGGATTCAATGATTCCATGAACAGTTTAACCATCCCAGGCCAGTTCATCCTCTTGCCTCTGACAGCAGCGATCAGTTGGGTATGTATGGAAGAAAGGGGAATGTCTAGTAACATTCCCTTGATGTATTCTCTGTACATTCATGGCTTTCCTAAACCAGACATGCATGTGTGTACGTAAATATTCTTGATGCATTTTTATTGCATGATTTTTTTCTAGCAGCTTTTCAAACCCCTGTGAAACCCACAGCTTGAACACCTGTTCTATGAATAAGTACCTCATCTTATTTGAACCTGCAAGCGATTTGACATTTCCATATTTTCAAGGGTTAACTGCCACTGAAGAAGAATACCCTGTTCTCCACACAAATCAATTCCAGTTCTCTCAACGCTCCAAACAAGACTTGTGCTCCAGACCTCTCACCAGCCTCACTGCCCTTCTCTGAACACGCTCCAGGGCCTCAATGCCTTTCTTGCAGTGAGGGGCCCAAAAATGAACACAGTACTCAAGATGTAGTAGCCTCACCAGAGGTGAATACAGGGGGATGATCACCTTCCTGCTCCTGCTGGTAACGCTATTCCTGAACCAAGCCAGGATGCCATTGGCATTCTTGGCCACCTGGGCACACTGCTGGCTCATGTTCAGCCGAGCATCAACCAACACTCCCAGCTCCCTTTCCTCTGCGCAGTCTTCCAGCCACTCTGTCCCAGGCCTGCCGAATTGCCTGGGGTTGTTGTGGCCAAAGTGCAGGACCTGGCACTTGATCTTGTTGAACTTCATCCCATTGGCCTCAGCCCAGCTATCCAGCCTGTCCAGATTGCTCTCTAGGGCCTTTTCTACCCCATTTATGTTCACTATGTCTGTCCTCAAATAAGCTTCATTTGGAAGCTCATCTTGAAAAATTGCCCTCTTCTTTATATAGTGTTTGCTCTACATTCCAAAAGCCACCAAATGACTCTTAGAATTAAGTATCACTTTCTGAACAACCTTTCAGCAGAGATTATCAAGATATGCTGGCTGATATATGACTAATAAACCAGTAGTTAGCTTTTGTGACCTGAAGAAATGCTGTCTTTATTTAAATCTTATGGATTTTTGAAACCTTGCCAGAAGTAACCTAAAAGCTGGAATGGCCTTGGAGTGTTAAATTTTCCTTTTTTTTCCAGCTGAAACCAATGACACATTCACTCTTATGATTATGAAAATACTTTGTCACAGCATATTGATCTTTATTTCACAAACTACTAATCATTTAACAATTTTAGTACAGAGATGTTTCAAGGTATGTGGTGCTGTGGGTAGATTGTGTGATCTTTCATTGAAAATTGAGTAATAATCACCATCACAAGTTGCTGACTGTGAGATATAAATTATTCTCTTATACAATTAGATAGTTGAAGACTCCCCAAATCACCTAAGTGTATTTTCATAGCAAACTGGATTAGATAAATGGCACTTCCCATCTGACAGGAATATTTTAACATGAATCTAAGTAGAGTAAATGAATAGCTTAAAAGACTAATGTCGGTATAAATTGCCTCTTGAAGTTTCATGTTTATTAATTCACGGAAATTAGTACTTATCAGAAAAGTATCCACATGCAAATACTGCTTACTCGTTTATAAATAACTGTATGTGTTAAGCAGGCACTCCAGCTTTTTCCCCATCATACCTGAAACAATTCATACATGGTCAGATTTTACAGTTCCTAAAACAAAAACACTAAGAACAAGAAATACAGTATGCCTTCTTTTTGTATGGACTATCACAAAAACAGAACCCTTCAAGTAGGCACAAAATTTAAAATATTCTTTATCTGGTTTATACACAGTCTCTCATTAACCCATCATATTTATCTAAAACATGTAGAAGATTAAAGATTTTAATTCGGCTCTTTGTTCCCTAGATAATACAGTATCTGACCTAAGTGGTAAATCAAGAAATTGAGAAAGCATTTCTATTACTCGAAAGGAAGAGTAGGGAATGCACATCAAAACCAGCATATACTGCCACTGAGTTGGCTTTCAACTCATTAGTTCAGTAAAACAAGCCCCAGAAGTCACATAAGAGCCAGGATAAATTAAACTCTATTCAGATCACTGATGCCGTGGCCATACATCATATATATGCAAGTGAGTAAGGTGGCTTAAAACTTGCTTGGATTTCTCCACTATGAAAACATAGTTAAAGATCATTAATTATACAGCAAAGGGTAGATGGTCCTTGCTTCGACTTTGAAAGAATTGAAGTTAAACCATGGGGAGAAAGTTTTCATTTACTCTATTTTTCGGAGACAGTA